ACGGGGTTAGATCCCGAGCTCAGGAGAAAGCTTATTCAATTTCTTATAGCTAACATAGACTGTTTCGTTTGGTCCCATCTTGACATGACAGGGATCCCACCGGGAATCACCACTCATAAGCTAAGCTTAGACCCAAAATTCCACCCGGTAAAACAAAAAAGAAGGCCCCAGTCCGAGGTCAAACACGCCTTCATCAAAGACTAGGTAACCAAACTCCTTAAGATAGGGTCCATTCGGGAAGTAAAGTACCCTGAATGGCTAGCAAATGTGGTGGTAGTCCCTAAAAAAGGGAACAAACTTAGAATGTATATAGATTATAAAGACCTGAATAAAGTATGCCCTAAGAACTCTTTTCCTTTGCCTAATATCGATCGTATGATCGATGCCACGACCGGCCACGAGACTCTCAGTTTTCTCGATGCCTATTCCGGGTACAACCAAATACAGATGAACCCGGAGGATCAGGAAAAAACCTCATTTATCACTAAGTACGTGACCTACTGTTATAATGTAATGCCATTTGGCCTAAAAATGCTGGTGCAACTTATCAACGCCTAGTAAACAGAATATTCGAAAAGCAAATAAAAAAATCAATGGAAGTTTATATTGATGACATATTAGTTAAATCCCTGCGAGCAGAGGACCATTTAAAGCATTTGCAGGAAAATTTCGACATACTAAGGGAGTACAATATGAAGCTCAATCCCGAAAAATGTGCTTTCGGGGTTGGCTCGGGCAAGTTTCTCGGTTTCGTGGTGTCCAATCGAGGAATCGAGATTAACCCCGATAAAATCAAAGCAATCGAGGACATCACAGTGGTAGATAATGTAAAGGTCGTGCAAAGGCTAACGGGGCGGATAGCCGCCCTGGGACGATTCATTTCGAGATCCTCGGATAGGAGCCACCGATTTTTCTCTTTGCTTAAAAAGAAAAGCAATTTTTCATGGATTCCGGAATGTCAGCAGGCTTTGGAAGAGCTAAAACAATATTTATCGAGCCCTCCGTTGCTTCATACCCCGAAGGCAGACGAACAACTTTATCTGTATCTAGCTATCTCGGAGATAGCGGTGAGTGGAGTCCTAATTCGAGAAGAACGAGGTACGCAATTCCCTATTTATTATGTCAGTCGAACTTTAGGCGGGGCCGAAACTAGATATCCACACTTAGAAAAATTAGCGCTTGCTTTAATAAGTGCCTCTAGGAAACTAAGACCATATTTTTAGTGCCATCCAATACATGTTGTAACAACTTATCCTCTACGAAATATGTTACACAAACCTAAGCTTTCAGGTCGATTGGCCAAATAGGCCATAAAGATTGGCGGGTACGACATCGAGTATCGACCTCGAACTGCCATCAAATCTCAAATCTTAGCAGACTTCGTGGCTGACTTTACGCCAGCCTTCGTACCCGAGATTGAAAAAGAATTACTGATAAAATCGGGTATCTCTTCGGGAGTCTGGACCCTCTTTACGGACGGTGCCTCGAACGCAAAGGGGTCCGGACTGGGCATCGTACTAAAATCGCCCACAGGTAATGTAGTTAGACAGTCTATTAAAACTACAAAATTGACTAACAATGAGGCCGAGTATGAGGCCGTGATTGCAGGTCTCGAACTAGCCAGAAGTTGGGGAGCCGAGAGGCCGAGTATGAGGCCGTGATTGCAGGTCTCGAACTAGCCAGAAGTTTGGGAGCCGAGGTCGTGGAGGCTAAATGTGATTCCCTCCTCGTGGTAAATCAAGTCAATGGGACTTTTGAAGTCCGAGAAGATCGAATGCAAAGGTACTTGGATAAATTACAAGTGACTCTACATCGATTTAAGGAATGAACTTTGCAACATATACTTCGGGAGCAGAACAGTGAGGCCGATGCTCTGGCAAACTTAGGTTCGTCGGTCGAAGATGACGAACTCAACTCGGGGACTGTCGTACAACTCATGAAATCGGTAATCGAAGCAGGTCATGCCGAGATAAACTCCACAAGTCTAACCTGGAATTGGAGAAACAAATATATAGAGTACTTCAAGAACGGGAAGCTGCCATCAGACCCAAAAGAATGGCGCACAAAGGCAGCACGGTTCACCTTGTCCGAAGACAGAAAGCTATTTAGGAGGACGTTCGATGGTCCACTGGCAATATGTTTGCGACCAGGAGACACTGATTACATCCTACATGAGATTCACGAGGGCACTTGTGGGAATCATTCCGGTGCCGATTCATTGGTCCACAAAACAATCAGAGCAGGATATTATTGGATCGATATGGATAAAGATGCAAGAGAGTTCATTCGAAAATGCGATAAATGTCAGAGACATGCGCTCATGATTCATCAACCCGGGGAACTTCTCCACTCGGTCCTAGCTCCTTGGCCTTTCATGAAATGGGGAATGGACATCGTCGGCCCCCTCCCATCGGCCCCAGTAAGGCTCAGTATATTTTGTTTATGACTGATTATTTCTATAAACGAGTTGAAGCACAGGCTTTCGAGAAAGTCAGAGAAAAGGAGGTGGTAGACTTCATTTGGGACAACATCATATGTCGGTTCGGGATGCCATCCGAGATTGTATGTGACAATAGAAAATAATTCATCGGAAGCAAAGTAACCAAATTTCTCAAAGACCACAAAATCAAAAGGATCCTATCAACACCTTATCATCCCAGCGGGAACGGACAGGCCGAATCGACCAACAAAACCATCATCCAAAATCTTAAGAAAAGATTAACCAACGCTAAAGGAAAATGGAGAGAAATACTACCCGAAGTCCTATGGGCATACCGCACAACATCGAAATCGAGTACCGGAGCGACACCATTCTCGTTGGTTTATGGCGCCGAAGCTCTTATCCTGGTTGAGGTCGTAGAACCTAGCATCAGATTTCGATATGCAACAAATGAGTCGAACAACGAGACGATGAACACGAGCCTAAAATTATTGGACGAAAAACGAGAAGCAGCTCTCGTCCGATTAGCCGCTCAAAAACAGCGGATCGAAAGGTATTATAATCGAAGAACCAATCTTCAATATTTTAAAATCGGGGACTTAGTGCTAAGGAAAGTCACCCTCAACACCTGAAATCCAAATGAAGGGAAACTGGGTCCTAACTGGGAAGGACCGTATCAGGTTCTCGAAATCGTCGGTAAAGGATCCTACAAGCTCGGTGTGATAAACGGCAAACAACTATCAAGCAATTGGAATGTGTCGCACCTAAAACGATACTACTGCTAAGGTACGACCCTCCTATGTTCATCTATATTTCGAAACTAACCCTTGAAGGAGTTCGACCAGGGACAAGGATGGATTATCTAACCCAAAGCCTTTAGGCCTGAAAGCACGCATTGCACTCTTTTTTCCTTAGACCGATTTTATCCCAAATGGGTTTTTCGGCAAGGTTTTTAATGAGGCAACCATTAATCGTGCTAACTTAGAACAATTCAACAGTATCCAACGCCTCTTTACAATCAACCTCGAATACTGGGGGGCATTACCGTCGAATATATCAAGTTCAATCGCCAAGTTCGATGAAAGGAAGTTACTTCATGACAACAGGGTTTCGATAGGAAAAATTGTAAGAGCCAAATGATCAAAACGAACCATGCTCGTGTAGTTTGCTCGATCCCTGGCACAAAATATGAACATGTGTATAATGACATAAAGAGAAATATCTCCTTTACCGATATCTCATATCTCAGAATCCATCCTCTATTTTGTGATCTATTATGCAAACAGGCTCAAGGGCCGACCATTACCCCATAAATCGGGGACTGCCAACCGAAAAGTCAACAAGATCAAGCCCCACATAAGCCTACGGGTTACGTTACTTCGAGTCCGAGCAAAACGCTCACTCGACCATAAAGCCTACGGGCTACAGCACTTCGAGTTCGAGCAATCACTCACTGGACTACTAAGCCTACGGGCTACATTACTTCGAGTCCGAGCAAAAGTTCACTCGTCTATTAAGCCTACGGGCTACATCACTTCGAGTTCGAGCAATCACTCACTCGACTATTAAGCCTACGGGCTACATCACTTCGAGTTCGAGCAATCACTCACTCGACTATTAAGCCTACGGGCTACATCACTTCGAGTTCGAGCAAACGCTCACTCGACTACTAAGCATACGGGCTACATTACTTTGAGTCCGAGCAAACGCTCACTCGACTATTAAGCCTACGGGCTACATCACTTCGAGTTCGAGCAATCACAAACTCGACTATTAAGCCTACGGGCTACAACACTTCGAGTTCGAGCAATCACGCACTCGACTACTAAGCCTAGAGCTAATCTTATTTGGAGTTCGAACAATCACTCACTCGACCATAAAGCCTACGGGCTACAACACTTCGAGTTCGAGCAATCACGCACTCGACTACTAAGCCTAGAGCTAATCTTATTTGGAGTTCGAACAATCACTCACTCGACCATAAAGCCTACGGGCTACAACACTTCGAGTTCGAGCAATCACTCACTCGACTACTAAGCCTAAGAGCTAATCTTATTTCGAGTTCGAGCAATCACTCACTCGACCATAAAGCCTACGAGCTACATTACTGCGAGTCCGAGCAAACGCTCACTCGACTATTAAGCCTAAGGGCTATTTTTAATTCAAGTTCGAGCAAACGTTCGCTCGGTTATAAAGGCTACAAGGTCCGACTTCGATCAAATTGCCTAAGGCCTCGAACTTATGAAAACTTTCATAAGGCATGAATGAAACAAAATCTTCACAATGCAAAGAATAAAACAGAGACAAATCGGGAAAGGAAAAGATCTTTATATATATATAAGAGTATATACAACGTCCGATCAGGACCCTACACAAAAAAATCAAAATGGAAAAAACCCTAAGTTTCCTGGTTATCTCCGGGGGCAGTCTCTTCTCCATCGGGCTCCTCCCCGCTCTCAGACCCACTCTTGCTCCCATCATCATCATCATCATCGGCTTCCAGCGCTTTAGCCTTTTTTATCTCTTCGGTAAGATCGAAACCTCGAGCATGGATCTCCTCGAGGGTTTCCCTCCGAGATTGGCATTTGGCGAGTTCAACAACCCAATATGCTCGAGTTTGAGCGGTCTCGGCTGCCTTTTTTGCTTGCACTTGAGTGGCTTCAGCATCGGCCCGATAGACGGCCACGAATGCATCCGCCTCAGCCTTTGCTTTTTCGGTTTCAGATTTGGCCTTGGCAAGTTCGAAAGCCAACCGAGCCTCGAGCTCCTCTATTTTTCTTGCTTGAACCGAGCTCTTCTCCTTCATGCCTTGAAGTTGTCTTTCGGCCGATGATAATTGGGCTCGAGCGGTCTCTTTTTCTACAGCGAGGCGGTCCATGCCTTCTTTCCACCCCAAGGTCTCAGCCCTTATCGTATCGACCTCCTCACGAAGCAACCCGATCACCTCAAGCTTCTGTTGCAGCTATGAGATCGAAATATTAGCCACCGTTCCCGAATCGAGCCCATGAGTTTTTAAGATTATCATTACCTGCTCGGTCAGGTCGGTCTAATCTTGGTATGCCTTGGCCAACTCAGCTCGGAGATCTTTGATCTCTTCCTCTTTCTGTCCATTAAGAAGTTTGAGGGCATTTCTCTCTTCCGAAAGCCCTCGAAAGTCGGCCTCACGTCGGCTCAGTTCCGTTCGAGACTTGGAAAACTCCTCTTGATGAAGAGCTAAAGCCTATACGAAAAAGAGAAAAAGTTAAGCAGAAAATAGAAAAACATGACATCAACAAAGGGAATCGAGACTTGCCCGATTCAGGGTTCGTTGAACCTCGAAGAAAAGACTCGACGCGTCACTCGGGCCGGCAGCATCCTCAATACCGGTAAACAAATCGCGAAAGGGGTCCTCTCCCTCATGGGCCTCGTCTACCAAGAGGGTCCCCAATGCTCGGGCTTCCCGAATCGCCCCTTCGGAAAAAGCAGGGAGAGTAGGCGCGTCTCCGATTACTATTGGCCCAAACGAGTCGCTTGGGGAGTTCTCCTCAGTTCGAAGAGCTTCAGGGTCGGCCCCTTCAGATATACCCACCGTTTGTTGACTTCGGTGGGAGGCATCCTCGATCTCCAACAACACGGGGACTTTGCCCGAGTCCTTCTCCGACATCCCCTCAGTTCGAGATGGAGCCTCATCAAACGCCATCGACCCCGCTGCCTTTGGGGCATCGATGGTTCTCTTCACTTGGGCCACCGGTATGGACCCGTCATTTTCTTCTTCCTCTTCGACTTCATCCCTTAGACGCCGAACTGATTCTTCGGTCAAAGGGATGGTGTTCTTCCTCGGCTAACGAGCCGTCTTTGTCTTAAGTGTTGGATCCTCAGAGGTAGAGGCCCTTTTTCTTTTGTTGTCCTTCGCCGGTTTTGGAACCGGGGCCAAAGTCTTTTCCTCGCCAGACGGGGGCCTCATAACCGCATCTTTGCCAAGGCCTACACACAAAAAAATTAGTTAAGTATAAGAAAAACATTTTGTTCAAATCATCAAAGACATGGGAAAGAGGCTTACCATGATTTTTGGCCTCCCATCGGCCCTTTGATAAATCGCGCCACGAGCGCTCGGCATATGTAGAGGTCGAAGCCAAGCCCCGTACCCAGCTCTTAAGGTTAGGAACTGCACTGGGCATCCAAGCAACCGCTGCATCGCAAAAAGGATATCGGTGAGAAAGAAACGAAAGAGCAAAACAATAGGAGGAGCTAACAGTAGAATTATACTTACGCTTCATGTTCCATTCCTCGGGAAATGGCATCTTCTCGGCCGGGATTAGGTCCGAAGTCTTCACTCGAACGAACCTGCCCATCCAGTCCCGGTCCTTGTCTTCGTCTATGCTCGAGAACATCACTTTGGTAGTCCGGCGTTGGAGTTTTATTAACCCAGCTCGATAGAGGCGGGGGCTGTACAATCTAATGAGGTGGTCGAGGGTGAAAGACATCCCCTCGACTTTGTTCACGAAGAAGCGGATCAGAATAACGATCCGCCAAAAAGAAGGGTGGATTTGGCCTAGAGTTACTCGATATTGGCGGCAAAAATCGATTACAACAGGGTCGAGGGGGCCTAACGTGAAAGGGCAAGTGTACACACTTAAAAACCCTTTCACATGAGTAGTAATATCTTCTTCGGGAGCCGGGATTATCACTTCTTTGTCCTCCCAGTTGCAATCTTTCCTTAACTGTTCAAAATGGCCCTCGGTTATCGAGCACATGTACCTCGATACTGGCTCGCATCGACCAGGAACCGGCGAAGCTTTGTCGATCTTAAAATCGAAGGTAAGAACACACACCCCGAGAACACACTCCTCAGGTCGTGGCTTCACCGGACGAGCCGCGAAGAGGAAACTTTTTCTTTCTAAGGAATGGTTTTTGACGTTTTCGCCATTAGGATTTGAAGATTGAAGATAGAGGAAGATGACAAGATTTGGTGTTCTGAAGAGGGATTTTGCAGTGAAAATCACAAATTTACAGATGAAGAACTCAGAAGATGCGAAAGGGAACTTAGAAGATTTGGAGATGTAAAGGTAAAAAGTGGTAAAAAGAAGGGCTATTTATAGGGTTGGCAATGACGGTTCAATGTCAACAATGGCCGATCATCGTCTGACACACATTTAATGCCTTGGTAAACTGAACCGACGGGACATCTATCATGTACGTCATGGTCGGGCTCGATAAAAATGTCAGTTTGAATCGAGTCATACCGTTGGAAAATCATGTCGTTTCTCGCCACATTCTTCTAGAGAAACGAGGGGACTATCTGTATACGGTCAAAACCAGTTTCGACTTTCGTATGATTAGTCAAGATTGGAACATAATGGACCGAAGGTTATCTTCGTAATATCGGGTATGAGGTCCGAAGCCAGGTTACCGAGCTCAAATTTCTGAGACAGATCAAATACCGAGCTCAAAGTCATTACCGAGCCCGAGTCCAAATCGAACTATGAAGTGAAGCGGTGTCGTCGAGCTTAAGAGCCAGAGACCGACCAATATCGAGCCCGATTCGATATCGAGCCCCGAGCCAATACTGAGTTCGAGTCAATATCGAGCTCGAGTTAATATCGAACTCTAAATCTGGAAATCGACCAATACCGAATCCGACCAAGATCGAGCCAAGAGACAAGAGCTGTTATAGCCGCACTACGGGAGAGAATCTTAGTGAAAATTAGGGAAAAGCTAATCTATCATGGGATCCCCACTATGTATTTTTAATTATATCTAAAATAGGATTCCTCCACTATAAGAGGGATAGCTACTATTTCTGTAAGGGATCCAACATTGAAGGCATTCTTACACACTCATATTATTCACAGAGAAAAACATACCGATATTCGTATAGAGATTATCCTTTTTGGGGCTTAGTACATTGATTCATCTTGCTTGTTCATAAGATATTTTCCACTCAACTTGATTTGTATTTCATTCTTTATAAGTCAATATTCAATATATTTCTACCTACTTTTCGATTTGTGCCGAGTTATACCATGTATCCTTAGAACTACGTATAAATTCAACTTTATCCGTTTTTCGGGTAAACAGAATCTCAGGTTCAAATCTCAATGGAGGCAAAAAAAAGTATTCCCTTCGTTTCAATTTATATGACACACCTTGACTTGGCTCGTAGTTTAAGAAAAAAAGAGAAACTTTTCAAATTTGTGGTCTTCAAAGTATAAAGAGTGAAGCCTTGTGTCTATAACATTTGTGTGGCTATAAAAGCTTCTCATTAAGGGAATGAAAATTTTAAAGTTAAATTATTTCCAAATATATAAATATGTCATTCTTTTTTAAACGGACTAATAAAGAAAATGTGTCACATAAATTGCAAACGAAGGGCATAGTGATTTCTTCTCATTTACCTAAGCCTTGGTGGGCATAATTACCCGGTACCTATGTTGATGGGAGGTAGCAGGTTCCCGGTGGAATAGTCGAGGTGCGTGTAAGCTGGGAAAACCTAAAACGAATACAAATTCATGACTTATCAACGGGGTAGCAAAATAATAAGGTAATTACAACACTAAACTAAGTGTTTCAGGGAACCTAAAACTAAGAGTAAATTCATTAAAGTGGAGGGTACACCTAGCTCATTCAAAACACAATTTCTATTGTGACTGTTATTACCTAACATGACTTCACCATTATGAAATGTCTTTGGCGTCAACTTAGAGAAACTTGCTCCACCCAAATATGATCAAAAGATGAAGATGAATTTGGTTCTGAATAATAAGGACAAAACGCATTGAAAACGGGAAAAAAGAGCATACATACCTCGGGATTCAAATCATTAACCTTCTCAATTGCATCCTCTACATTACCAGCCTGTACTGCCTTTTTAACTGCCATCCGATCAGTGATAGTAGCAAGATCTATATCAGCTATTCATTCATAAGGAGAAGCACAATCTTAGATGTACATATGCAACGGCACAAGTTCATACAATAACATAAAATGAGCAACCAAAAGATGATAGAAGGATACGATCTGTTCCAGATTCCATTCTGAACTTTTCTGCTGCTTCTACATAACCCTCTGTGACTAAAAAGTTCATCACTAATCTATTCATATCTTCTTTTCTAATTTTTACATCACTGAGCCTTTTCTCCCACTCTTCTCTTGTGATTACTTTCTTTGATGTTGCCTGCAAAGGAGGGAAAGGAAAAAATTCAAAATAAAATAAATGTGTCACTGCACCATCTAAACCTGTAAGTTTTGTGGCAGCAAAATTTTATATGAACAAAAAATGAAAAAAAAATTACAAGTAAATCCATATGCATCTTTTGGAAAGCCATTCAGCAGTAAGTATCTGACTCATATACATAATTGGACCAGAAATCAACTTAATTGGAATTATCACTACTATATCAAATAACATCAAGTACATTCGAAATCTCACGGGTCGTTTTAGGCAACATTGCTGACTAAGCATCGTATTCTTAAAACCTTTTAGGATATCAAGGCTTGATATCCTGAAGAATTGTATGATAAATGACAATGTAATACATAAAACTAAGATAAGTTAGTAAAAATGGACAAGTGTCACAGAAATGTTAAGCCCTGGAGGTAACCATCAAAGTAAAAAAGAAAGTTCTATAGAACGATTTTAGACCAACATTATTGTAAGGGAGTCTAAGGTCCAAAACATCGATAAGATGAGTGTCACATAAACGCGGATGTTAGAATGGCTGAGTTATCATAGAAAAATGATCACGCCCTAGAAAGTACAAGTAGCATACATGGAGGATACAATGATAACAAGGTCGCTTGAGATGATTCCTCGTGTTCCACATTGAGCTCCAGATGCATCGATCCAAAGTGTGAAATTATGGTGATTGAAGGGGTTAGAAGAGAACAAAGTAAAACAAAATCACATGAAAGAAGTTATCTTGAAGACTTATAATTTCTTAGAGAATCCGTGCACACATAGTGAAAAGAGTATAATGGAAGAGAAAGATATATATAGGTGATACTAACCAGTTAGGATTAAGGTTTAGTCATGTCATAAACTTTACTTCTAGGAGTTCGGGAAGGCTAGAAATAAACAAAGAGTGATAGAAAAGAATAAAATGCTTCCCATGTTCTTTTCTTTCACATCGGGAGAAGTAGAAGGAGACACCGTGCAAAAACTTAGGTCGTCCTGTAATCTCGTTAGAAGTTACATGCCAGTAATATATATATATATATATATATATATAAAGAACTTCTAGTATTAGAGAACCTAAATAATAGAACATTAGATTGAGATGGGTCTAAATGGAGCGACATAGATAGTGATGATTCATATAGGTGACCTAACTATCTTAGGAGTGAGGTGCAACAATAACATTATTTGTTGTGTTGCAGTCCGTGGCGATCCCAAGATTTTGCACAAGCGGGTTCATTAAACACGACACCAATATAACAATTGAGATTTGCTCGACTATATTTTTTCTTTTTTTATTCGTGACAACAAAAGAAAGTCATCAATTTAAAGTTGATGTTTTTAGCTTTGGCAGTTGAGCAAGTTTTTTAAATTGACTTGCACGTTTCACGTTATAGAAGAGAAATGAAGTGTTAGGGCTCTAAAGTGAACTTAATAAGGGTAGTGCAGCCATACAAACATACCTAATAACCATCAAAAAGTAAAGACTGAGTGTTGTTATGTAGACTCGAACGCTGAACCATCTAGAGCATGTGAATCCACTTGACCACTACGCCACAAAGGTGTGCTATGTCAAGTGGATTCATTATTATTAAAATAAAGGTATTGTTTCTATTTCAGATGATAATTACATGTATACGTAGTATATTTTTCGACGAAGCGGGTTCATTTGAATCCTCTTTGATACACGTGGGTCCGCCCTTGGTTGCAGTATTAGTATCATGAATTTTCTGTGGGTTTAAGTTTTGTGGACCGTTTATGCAATCAGGTCATTAGTAACTCTATATGGTAAGATGTTAACTAAGAACCCACTAAATATGGTAAGCGACCTGCTATCTCAAGTTAAATTACATTGATAGTGTAAAGCTTTCAGTGTATAAAACTTAAATCCATTTTCTACATACTCCAGAATCTTTTATATGCATATAATAATATCTAAGTATAACTTAAACATGAAAATCTACAAATCATAACACCCTGAAAAAGGCATTAACGTGATTTCAGATCCGTGTCCTTTATCTTAAACCTACAGCCCTATTATGTACGAACCAATCAATCAACTATGCCTCAAATTAAATTAGTCCAGAGTAAACTATGTATTG